CACACACACACACACACACACACACACACACACACACACACACACACTACTGATAATCTTTCCTAACCCTTTGAGAGTGGTTGCGGTGGCTCCTTCTCCCTTGGGGAATCTCGTCCTCCCTTGGCTCCTAAGAGGACACTGTTCGGAGTCAGTACTCCCGCCCACCCCACTGGCTGACCCTTTGAAGCCCTGCCTTCGGCGCCAGTTCCAGATCTGAGCGGGTTTCCCCCTCCCTGCCGCCACGGCTCCAGCTGGCTGCCGTCAGCTCGCCTGGGTGGTTGCGGTCCTCTCCTCTGGCCTCTGTGCTTCCACCCTTGTCCCACAGTGGTCCGTTTTCACTGTAGCCAGAGTGGCCTTTACAAAGTGTAAGTCAGGTCATGACCGCGCTCTGCTCAGCATCAAAGGCTTTCCTTGGTGAGTCATGAGGGTCAAGTTAAATCATGGACGTGAGACCTTGGCAGAGTGCGTGGCTCGGTGCATGGCCCTGGAGTCCTGAGTGCCTACTCGCATCTGTACTTGTGAGCCTGGGGGCTTCATACTCAGAACAACTTAATTTATGTGAGGAACTTGGCCTTAACAGAGGGAGGTCAGTTGCTCAAAGTCACAACTGACATGGCAGAACCTGGATTTGACCTCAGTCGTCGTGCCTTCATACATCCACACAGATGGGTCACAAGGCTCCACGTGTGTTCAGTGTGATGCCAAGATAGAACGGGGGGGGGGTAGTTTGGCCTTCTGGGCTCAGGGAATGTTTTTCCTCCATTTTTAAGAAGGGCCCAGCCGCTTAGGTGCGTCGCAGGCTGATTTTCTAGTACCAGCTCCCGGGACCTCTGACACAGGAGCACTTGACTTTTTCCAGCTTTACGAAATCTACTTTTATTCTGGCTAAGGTTTCCCAAATAAGCTAGTTTCCATTTTATTATTGGAGGGATAAGTGGGTCCTCAAGAGAGAGCTGTGTCTTCCCGGCCCGAGGCATTTTCCATCTGTCTCTTTTCTTCCTACAGGCCCTCAACCTGGGAGTGGGAGGCTGAGAGAGACTGCCTCTGGCACCAGATGCCCTCCCTCCCTCATCCACCCGCCTCCCCTTGATTTATTTTTTAGTTATTTACCTTGACAGACCCAAGGAGATCTCACTTCTTGTTTCCTATGGGTCTGGAAGCAGAAGCATTTCGGGCTTAGCAGACAACACAAACACAGAACTTAATTCTCTTCTACAAAAGGCATAAAAGTCTCAGGAGCCTCACTACAGCAGCTCTTTTTCTTAGAGAATAAAATGTAACAGAGGTGGGTCTTTCTGGGATGCCATCTGAAGAGTCTGGCTCCTGAATTATGAAATGAGCTTACCATAAAGTAATTTTATATTTGAGGTAGTTGCGTAGCATGAGTTCTTAAAAAATTTAAATGTAGCCCTTTTTTTTTTTTATTAATACAAAACGGTACATGTTTATTGTGGGATAGCAGATGAGCGAATACTCCCATAATTTTATCATTTATACAGCAAAACATGAACACCCTGGAGTGTATACTTTCCAGACCTTTTTTATACATATGTGTATTTTTGGTGGAAGTAGGACGCTTTGCAACCTCTCCCTTTGTTCAATTATAGATAATAAATGTTAATCTACGTTGTAGGTTTTAGTGGCTGCAGAGCATTCTTTTGTATGAATGTACCATAATTAATCATTCCCCATTAGATGGATATTTAGTTCGTTTCCAGTTTGGGGCTATGATAAAGGATAGTGGATTGGAATCTTTGTGCTTATGCTTGCTATTTCTTTAATGTTTTTTTTGTTTTGTTTTGTTTTTTTTGCGGTACGCGGGCCTCTCACCGCTGTGGCCCCTCCCGCTGCGGAGCACAGGCTCCGGCCGCGCAGGCTCAGCGGCCACGGCTCACGGGCCCAGCTGCTCCGCGGCATGTGGGATCTTCCCGGACCGGGGCACAAACCCGTGTCCCCTGCATCGGCAGGCGGACTCTCAACCACTGCGCCACCAGGGAAGCCCTCTTTAATGATATTTAATTGGTAGAACCCAAGAAGTAGGATGGTAGTGTGCTTTCTTAATGCTGGTAAGGATTAGAGCTGGGATTCTTGCCTCTCTCCATAGGCTAGGGAGTTCACTAGGGGTCTGGAGCCCTGCTCCAGATTTTGTGAGTGTTGGTGTTTTTCTGGGGTGATAGTCTATAAATTTTAGATTCTCAAAGTGGGTTGAGACCCCAAATAGATCAAGGACTGGTGTTGCAGTCCCAGGTTTTCCACCATATCCTTGACCGTGGTACCTCCTGAGAGCAGTAGCGTGAATCAGAATCAGGAAGGCCGTGTTTTTGTCTTCAGGTTTCTTTTTTTGTTTTTTTTTTTGCGGTATGCGGGCCTCTCACTGTTGTGGCCTCTCCCGTTGCGGAGCACAGGCTCCGGACGCGCAGGCTCAGTGTCCATGGCTCACGGACCCAGCCGCTCCGCGGCACATGGGATCCTCCTGGACCGGGGCACGAACCCGTGTCCCCTGCATCGTCAGGTGGACTCTCAACCACTGCGCCACCAGGGAAGCCCTGTCTTCAGGTATTTTTGAGTGAGTGCCGAGGAAGAAGATGGTGAGATAGTCCCTGTCCTCAGCAAGCTCACCGTGTGTGTCAGGGTTTAGCCGCATGAGTAGAAGACAGTTGCTGGGATCCCTTCCCTTGGTGCTCCTTTGCCACAGGGATGAACCCGAAACATCCATTTCTTTTTTTTAAATTAATTTTTATTGGAGTATAGTTGCTTTACAATGCTGTATTAGTTTCAGGTGTACAGCAGAGTGAATCAGTTATACGTATACATATATCCACTCTCTTCTGGACCGAAGCATCCATTTCTTTCAAGGGCTTCCACGGTCTGCCTTTTCCAGCCTTCTAACCTCGGAATGATAATGATGAATATGAAGGAGAACCAATGGGGAGGGCTGGTCTTACTGTATGCCAGGCATTGTTCTCAGCCTACTATTTAATATCCTCATTTAATAATGAGGAACAGAGAGGTTAATTTACTTGCTCAAGGTCACACAGGAAGTGGCCGAGTCTGGATTTGAACCCAGGCAGCTTGTTTTCACAGCCTAACCTGACCCCCATGAGGTCATGCCCCTCACACTCTTGTCAAATTGGGTGTCCTTGTCAACAATTTCCATGGGCCTGGCTTTGCATTTCCCCACTTCTGGGACTTTGTTCAAATCAGTCCTTTTCTAAAAGGCTTTTACTCCCTCTCCACTTCTAGAAATTCTGCCCATCCTCCAGGAAGCTTCATTTGTTCACTTCAAGTGAAAGCAAACCTATTCATTTTCTTTGTTGCCGGGTTGGTTGTAGCTCTCATATGGTATCACTTCTGGTCTTGTGATGGGGGCCATGTGATGGGGTGGAGAGAACAGAATCTTTGGAACCAGACAGGCCTGAGTTCAAATCCCAGCTTTGTGGTTAAGGGTCAGATTTCCTCTGTGAGGTAATAGCACCTGTCTGGCAGAGTTATTGGTGAGGATTGAGATTATTAAAGCATCTGGTGTCCTCCTGGCCAGTAGTGGGAGCTCAGGAGGTGACAGCAATGATTTCTTGTAGGCATATTTTATTTCTTCGGAGCGTAAGCTCCTGGAAGGTGGGGGCCTGGTCTTGTCCTGGCCTCCCAGCCTGGGAAGGGACCAGACAGGTAGTGCCCGGTCAGGATTTGATGCTGCTGCTGGGAGTTTTATGTGGTATGGACCTGGCTCTGGGGTGCCCTTGGGTGAAATGTGCTCTGCCTCTGTCTGGCCCACATAGTTGAGCTTGGAGGGGGGGCACTGTGGACTCTGAAGGGAGGCTTCCAGGAGGAAAGGATATTGGAGCTCAGTCTTCCACAGTGGGAGGACTCACAGCTGGTGGGAAAGGGTGTCTTGGGAGTGGTGATGGGGCGTGCAAGCTCTGGTTAGCTATGTGCGCCAGGCTGTCCGATGGAATGGAGGACTTTCTCTCCTGAGTGTCTGTGGAATCTGCCCTCCGCACAGCACCTTAGCTGCTTCTTACCTTTATAAAGCAGTTCTTTCCTGCCTGAAAGATCTAGATCAGTTGTCACCTCCTGTAAGTTCTCTGATGGTCCAGGCTGGATTGTGCTTGTCTCCTCTGTGGGTCCTCCCCCAGCATCCGATGCTGCCTCTGTCACAGCGCTGTCGTGTAGTTGTCTTTTGGGTCGTGTAGTTGTCTTTTTGCGTCCCCACTCAGCTGTGAACTCACTGGGGCAGGCCCCTCACTCATCTCTGTATCCCCAGTGTCGGGCACAGGCACCCGGGAGGAGGACTGTAAATATTTAATATGAATTACCAGTGAGACGGAAAGGAAGAAACATTTGGGTCACGTAGGAGATGCCAGGCTCTGATATTTGAACTTAATTTTGTACGATTGATGGGTTTTGACCTAGGGAGTACCATTTCACAAGAGGCTTCTTACGTGGTGGCCGAGTACAGAGGGGTCAGTGAGGGGAGGGGACTGAAGGTGGGTCCATCAGTTACAAGCCTGTCCTGCATCGTGATTCTCGTGCTTGTTCAGCTATGTGTCGGATAACTAGATGTCTCTTTATTTGGAAAGATGAACCCCCCCCCCCCCACTGCCACATACTCCACAGCTTTTTAGGTGTAGCAATAAGATTTGCCTGAGAGATGGGAGAGTGTTTCCATGACGTGCTTCCTAAGCTTCTGGAATAGCCTGACAGATGGTACCCTCTCACCTGTGTGAAGGCAGATTCCACCAAGAAATTCAATGCATCAGTTGTACCGACGATCTCCCTATGAGTCCCACAGTAACAATTTGTCACTTGGTTTTAAAGAACTCTGTGGTGGAAGCGAAACGAGTGGAGTACAGTTGTTGAGTCATTACAAGCTCCCCAAAGCATCTCTGGTTTGAAGAAGGGGAGCCAAGGGTTGCTGGTGGCATCCGGGTCATGGACTCCATCTGTGGTCCTGGACTTTGTCAGGAATCGAGGAGAGTTTTTTTGCTGGTTTTAAGATGAGTTTACGGTTAGGTGAGCCAGAATGCTTGAAGCCTGTGCTGGGCCAGTTGTAGTCCCTGAGGCACGTGCCTCTGAAGAACGACGGTAAATGTGAAGCAGGTGTTGCGCTATTGCTCGCCTGCCTAGCGCATGTAGAGCCCTGAGCTCTTTGGAAGGCTAGGCTGGGGCAGACGGCCCATCCTTAGGGTCTAAGGGCCACAATCGTATCATTAACTGAACACTAGTAAGCAGCCCTGTGCAGGTGTGGGAGGAAAACGCCAAGTGAGTTCTTCTTCTAAGGTACACTCATCCATGCCCGTTCATGTGGGACTTGGAATGTCAGGGTCTTGGAATCTGACCAGTCAGGGGTATCAGATGTAGATTCCCCCCTTGAGGCGGGATGCAGAGGACAGAGACGGGGAGCCCTTGAGAGCATCCCCTGGGGTGGAGGCCTGTCAACCTCTCCCTACCTCTTGGGGAGTCCAGATATCATACCAGTTTCGGTCGCGATGGAACCAGAGGATGGAGATGTAGATTTGTGGTGGGGCAGCTGTGAGAATGTCTCCATTGCCCTTGCTTCACCGAAGCAGTAACGTAGGTGAGAGTGGGAAGTGGGGAGAGTGGGAGAGTGGGAACATTAGACCTCCTGGATTTCACGTCTTTACCGTCAAACAGAGATCCGGACACTGTGCCCGTAGGGTTGTTGTGAGGCCTGAAGAAGACGGTGGCTATCGAGGAACCGCCCTCAGCACCCATTCCCGGAGCCCGTGCGCCCTGCGTGGTGCTGGTGCCCAGGGCCCGGCCCGGTGGGCGGAGAGGGAGCCCTGGCAGCCACCCAGCTGGCTTGGGGAGCTTGTGGGTGGGAACCACAAGATACAGAGCAGATGTGCGTGTCTCCCGTGATCTTTTCCTCCACACGGTGGTGTTTGAGAACTTTTCCTTTTATGAGTAGTTTTGAAAATGGTACGTGTGGGTGCAGTTTAATTATAGCCTCATCTTTCCACTGCTGCCGTAGGAGGCTTGTTTTTCCTTTAGCCACGCGTTCGTTTCTTCAACGAGCTCCTCCCCGTCTGCAGTTTCCAGCGTTCTGAAGTATCTTTAAACTAAAGTTGTTCATCTCTGAAATCTGGGCTCACATGTTCCTTTGAAACAGCGCATGATGACACGCAGGGGGCGCAGAGCATTGTCCCCGGCTGCGTTCTGAGCCACTTACTTTGTTTTCTTTTGTCTTTTCTTCTAGTCATTCCCCCTGCTGCAGGCACCAGCTTTTTTAGCTGCACTCACAGCCTCCTTGTCCTAGGAATCCCGCTTCTGAGAGCCTTTCCGGAGGAGAGAGTTTCAGTGTAGATAGAGCTGTATGCACAAAGAAGTTTATTTTATTTATTTTTTAAAAGTGAAAAATTGGAGAGGGCCTAGACATCAGCTAGGGAACTGGCAGAAACTGGACCATGTCCACCTCCAAGGGAATATTCACGTACACATTAAACATGCCGTTACTAAGGCAAATTTGGTAAGTGAAATGCTCATAATAAAGGCCAAAGTGAAAAATTAAGTCGTGATACAGTGTCACCCATGTCAAAATGCGTGGAAGAAAAGAATGGAAGGAAAGCCAGTAACACGTCTGTGGTGGGTACCTGGAGGGTAGCAATCTTCTTTCTCTTAATTCTGTTACCCGTTTCCTATAACAAGCCTGTATTCTGTTAGTATCAGAGTTTTAGAGAAGGAAGAAGAGCCTCTGCACCCAGCAGCGCCTTTGTGATTGCTTTTTAGATTCAGTGCCATCACCTTCCTCCTGGAACTAGCGCCAGAGCAGTGATAAAGGAGGAGTCTAGAGTCTGAGTGGTATTCTTGGTAATCCTACTTTAAATATCCGGGACTGTTATGAAGAGTGTTTAAACAAATGGATGAGGAAGAAATTGTTAGGGAGCACTTTTTTGTTTTTTTTAATGTTTTCCTTCTTGATGTTATCTCTGCTTCCAGGAAATTCAGTTGAAGCGGAAATGAGCACCCAGAAGGAACTGAGAGAGAGGTGAGTGTGTGGCCTTTTGGTAAGAAGACGTTATGGGTTAGGTTTGTCTGCCAGCGTTTTGAGTGTTCTGCTCCCTCCTGTTCTATTAGTTTCCTGCGTCTTGTAAATAAAGCAAAAATACCTGTGAAACTGACAGTGGTCATACAAAACCAGAAGTTCACGCCGTATGTCCCGCAGCCTTCATTCATTTGCATTAGGTTGCTCCTGGCGTTTCTGTCGGGTGATTTGACCCAGATGACACATTCCTTCTGTTGGCTCCTGGATACTTGCAGGATGAATTCCAGACTCCTGAGCCTGACCCATCTTTCCTTTTCATCGTGTACCCCATGCTTCAGTCTTAATCTTCGTTTTGATTGTTCTCCAGACCACGCCTGTACACAAGCGGTACACTGCCTTCTTCTGCTTATAATTTAAAAATCCTTCTTCAGAGTCAGTTCACATGGAAACGGACCTTGCTCTCCCCGACACCCCCGTCTCTCCACTGCATCCCAGCATCAGTGATCCTTCCTATAGCAGTTGGCACATAATTACACTATAGCACTTACCACATGGTATTATAATATTTTCTGCATTTATCTTTCCGTGCCCAGGATTCCTTGAAAGAGGTAAGGAGACAGCATTAACTAGGTATGGTATGTGCCAGCTGCTGCCCTAGGCGTTCACATCCGTTATTTCTGACCCTACAAGGTGAGCATTATTGTTCCCAGTTTAGGATGAGGACCTTCAGGGTCAGAGTTGCATACTTGCCATTAAGAGGCAGAACTGGGATTTGAACTTGAATCTGTTATGCTCCAACACCTGGGCTGTTATTGTTATTGCACATTGCCTTTTGAGGGCAAAGACTTCTTTAATATCTGCACACCTGCTCTAGCCCCAGCTATCTGGCATGTGGTTGGAATTTTTTAAAAATGTTCATGGAATAAATGGATTGCAAGCACTCTTAGCTTGCCTCTGTGACCAACTGGAAACGTCAGGGTCTCGCCCTCCTCTGTTGACTTGTTCAAGGTTCTGACTGTCGTTAGTGCCATTGCTGTTTCCCTCATCTTTGGAGCTGCGACCCTTTGGACTCCTGGGGGCAAAATAAAGAAATAAAGACCAGTCTGGGGTACAGAGTTTCAGATTTTACTGGCATCGTGAAGGCCTCCAGCATCGTTAGGGTGGGCAGGCAGGGAGGTATCACAGCTCTTCACTGGAGGGCATTTTACTCAGGGCTTCTGTAAGTTTAGAAGAAACTTTCCTCTCCCACTGCGGTATTCGCAAGACCCTTCCCAGTTCAACCCTCCACTTCTGTCCTGATAATAACGGTGGGTCATGTCCCACCGGCAGGCTGCGGAGAGGGCAGTAAGGGCCTCCCCGAGTGGAGATGGTCTTCGCTGAGATCTGAAGCACGAGGCTCCGGGGCGTGGCTTGTTGGAAGAGTGTCCCCCCGCGAGGTGACGGAGACACGACCCCTTTGAGGTGCGTGGCTGGTGCATGGAACGTGAGGCTAGAGAGGCAGGCAGGGCTGCCTTGGGCTGGTCCTCAGATACTGCCTTAAGAGCCCAAATCCTGTTCTACAGGAAGAGGGGAGTCTTTGAAGGAGAGTAAGCTGGGACTAGACATGATCAGATTGGCCATCTTGAAAGCCGACCGTGGTTGCTTGGAGAATGGCAGGGAGCCTCTTCTGGCCTTCCTCAGCCACGTGTCACCCTTCCCTTTCTGGCAGGTTTGTTTCTGTTCCTTCTGTTCTGCTGTTTTCAGCTGTAGGCTTAGTGCTCACGCTAATTAAATGTGTGCCCTCGGCCCCTTCTGCACTCTGCAAGGCAGCAGCAAGCCATCGCATCCATCACGCTGTCTGAGCACAACTGCATCTGCTGTTTACCTGTTAGTGGATGCGCTGCAGCTTTAAGTCCTCTGCTCTTGTCTGAGTTCATGAATAATGAGACAAGAAGGAATAGGAAAAAGTGGGAGAAAAAAGAGCTTAAATTAAGGAGCTTATCTGTAATGGGGATTCACGTGGGCTCTTCACAGAGTTCAGGGTGGTTTTCCTCCCGGCTTAGGTGGCCCTTGGGCAATACAGGTCACTAACCAGATGATTGCCTCAATGGTGATACCGGAATCTGCTTGCGGACCGTGAGGGTTTTGAGGTTTTTAAACCAGCAAGTCCACCTCGTGGGTTTGGGTTGGCCCCCCACGTTCTCCTGGGGCCTTGGAGCCAGACAGACGTGGATTCAGATGTGTGCGCTGCCACGTACAAGCTGTGAGACTGTGGGCAAGGTTCTGATGCGCCTCCGTCCCCGCAGCTCTAAATGAGGATGGTCCTCCCTACCTCAGAGGGATTCTGTGAGGACCAAGGAGGACCGTCTGCGTAAAATGCCTGGTACAGAGCTGCCAGTTGATACGCAGCTGCCGCTGACTCATGCCCTCTCTCAGGGTCCCTCCACTACCAGCCAGACGGTGGCTCCCCCTCCTTCACTGGCTCCACGTCAAGCCCACTGAGCCCTCTTTGTGTTTGTTTTTAGAGTATCCTTGCTAAAAAATGCTCTAGGGAAACAAAAAGCCTCCAGAACACCATTGCAAATGTGGGTAGATTACAAAGAGCCAGTCACCTTAAGTGTTCTTAAGTCATGGTCCTGGTTTGGGATCTTAGCGTGGAAAATGATTTCTCTTTCAATCCCGATGGTCAAGGACTGAGGAAGACAACTTAAGCTACCAACACATTCTCCCTGAGTCTCCTGCGCCCTCAGCCTCGCGCGCGCTGTCCGACGGTCACATGCTGTCCGACTGTGAACTGTCCGCAAAGTCCTCCTCACGAGACCAGAAGCAAGACAGCGAGACCGAGAAGACTTCGGTCCTGGCAAACAACGTTTCTCAAGGTAAGCCAAGCTTCACTGAGCGTCGTAAACCTAGCCAGAGTTTCCTGCTTTGAACGATAGTTTGCTGTCTTGCCTTCGTACTAAAGCAGAGTATAGTGACATTGGAATAGTTACCAGGTGAGAGGAGATCCTGCGAGGGCCCAGGCCCATTGTTAAGAGTTATCCTTCATCACCGGGGAAAGCTACAGTTGTTGAAAGTGTTGGAGATTGGGAAAAAGTCCTTTTTATTTTTTAATGATGACGTGTTACATGCCTTGCCATTCCTTATCTGGCAGACTGGAAAGCACTGGGGTTATGGATCAGGTCTAGGTCTGGCCCATTTCTTGCTGTCTCTTTCGAGCTCTTCCTAAGGTGGTGTCGCTTTGAGGACCGTTGCTTTGAACTGTACAGGGCCCCTGTTTGGAGATTTTGAATTCAGTAAATCTGCTGTGTTTCTCTTTAGTGTGACCCTCGGCCCTTTCCATCAGCCCCTTGTCCTGCCTCTGGGCACGGAGCCGTGGGCTCAGTTGGCAGAATCAGCCTCCCGTGACCCCACCTGCCTCTGAGCTCCCCTTTACCCCTTCTGTGTTTGCAGTCTTGATTGCCTCCTGTTGGGCATTAGGTAGGGCTTACTGTCCATAAGTTCAAGGACTGGTATAGACCAGAACAGACAGACCTTTTCCAGTAAAAGGCTGGATACTGTGTGCCTCAGGCTTTGCAGAGCATATGGTCTCCGTTGCAGTTACTCAGTCGTGCTGTCGCAGCATAATGCAGCTGTAGAAAATACGTAAATGCGTGAGTGTGGGTATGTTTCAATAAAACTTTATTTACCAAAACAGGTGGTGGGTGGATTTGACACAGGGGCCATAGTTTTCTGAGCCCTGGTATAGCCTCTGGACCTCAACTGACATCCTCTGGTCTCTCCTTTTTCCAGTGGGTTGTTTGCAAGGTGCCCAGAATGGACCCAGGAAACAAATCAGACACCTCCCTGCTAAAAACTCTTTGTTGACACCAGATCACATTAGAACCAGGGTTTCAAAATTTTTAAATCTATTTTTTTAGCAGCAGCAATCCCCCCTCCCTTTTTTTTTTTCAGATGAAACTGAATATATGTAAAAGATATATAAAAGATACACCTTTTTCCCAAAGGAGTGGAGCCTTTATCCCCAGTGGCGCCTCCGAGGCTCCTTTAGGATACGCAGGGACCAGGGGAGCATGGTTTGGAATCAGACCTCGAGCATGAAGTGTACACGTTTGATGTAACGCAGGTATCTGCTGGGGTCCTCCAGTAACCAGTTACCTAGATGTGCTTTCTTTGGGTTCGTGGCCGTATCCCTCTGCAGTTTCTGTGAGTTTCTGTGTACTTGGTTCCTCTCAGTTATTTCTGGCTCTACTCTCTGCCTTCTCCTGCTTTGGGTTAGACCATGGATTGTTTCCCTGTCCCTTGTGCTGCCTCCTGCTGCCCGAGACCACTCTCACAGGGCCTTTGTGGGAGGAGCAGACTGAGGTGTCAGGGACTAGAGGGGCGGGGTTTACAATGCGGCAAGCCTGATCGTTGACGGGCTATTTGTGATCCCTGTTCTTTAAGACCCTCCTGCTACGGTGGTACCAGGCACTTCCTCTTTCTCCCCCAGCCTGCCCTCCTTTTTCTCACTCTAGGCCCCATCCGCCACCCCAGCCTTGGTTTATTTCCAGTGTAGAACCATCTTTTACTTCTCAGTCCTCTGAGGACCTGTGACCTTGGGCTTCTCAAGTGGATTATCCGGCACTTTCCCGAATGGGGACAGTGCTCTCTGGAGCTGTCCTAATTAACCCACTGTTAGCTTTTTTGGGTTTGTTTCTCTTCAGACTTTTGGTCTCTGCATCTGTTTTTCCTTTTGTCGCGCTTATAATCTGAGCAGAAAGATAATTTAGTACTTGTCCTTTTTTCACTTAGCATTATATCATAAGTTTTCTGACGTGTTACATAACATCATTTTCAGTGGCTTTGGAATAGTCCGTTGAATGGCTGAACTGCAGTTTTCCTTATGTTCCCCTGTTGCTGAACATTTAAGTCATTTTCTAAAATTTCACAATTGTGAACAGTGCTGCAGGGAGTGTCTTTGAACATAAAGCTTCCCCCTTATTCTGGGGCATTTTCCTAACCTAGATTCTGTAAATTGGAGCTACTCGGCAAAGATATTTATACCGTCGCTTGTGGTGGCTGCTGCTTGCAGGATTTATGGGTTTAGAGAGGCGGCGTTTGTCAGAAGGGTATTATTGTAAGAGGCACAGATATTTTTCTCCTGTGTTAAGATGAGTATAGTATTTCTTTCTGCCCAGTTCGGGCTGCATAATTAACAAGCGGTGTCCAATTCGACCGGGAATGTTTCCTTAAGGCCAAGGGATGATTCCAGCTTCCAGCCAGTCTCAGTAGAAGATGCGTTGTACCGATCGCTGCTGAGGGTTTTTGCCCCAGAAGCCGGCAGTATGTGACGTGGATAAACCAGGAAGGAAGGCTGCAGTCAGAACAGATAAGTTCCTGACTCACTGAGACCTGACTGGCCGCTGGAAGATTTGCGGGGCAGCAAGGCAGGAACGGGAGGTGTGTTGCCGTGCTGCTTCAGTTTACTGCAGGCGGGGTCCACAGACAGTCCGCCAAATGACTTGCTGCACTCCTGGCATTCATAGGAGATAGCTGAAGATCTGGGAATTAAGTCATCCCATAAACATTCAAATTCATGGCAGAATTACTATTTAATTAGGAAAAGATCTGTAACATTGTGATACTTTTAAATGAAAGTCATTTTGGAGGAATTAAAACTGGGTCATAACATTAGTATAATGTTTTAAAACAAACATTACCAAGACAAAACCGAGTATCCCCTAATTGATGAATTAAAGACATTAGTTTTGCCTTTGGATACTTAATGTGATTATGCTGTAAACACTGATACTAGAAACCTACCTCTGGACTGGAACTGCACTTCCTCCTTTCTTTGTTAAAGTGAGCTGTGGCAGAGGCTGAGAAATTAAAAGCATGCTCATTTTAGAAAATTCAGAAATTTTAAATTTCTATATATTGTTAAATATTATGTTAAGATATAGTATTAAAGTTTTGAGAAGCCTAAGATCTACCACCTAAAGGCGACCTCTGTTAATATTTAGGTGTATTTCCTTCTTTTCCATATATGTGTCTTTCCTGTCTGCAGATTTTTAAACAGAGTTGTGATTATGCTGAATAACCCATTTTGTATCTGTATTTTTTCATGATATTATATGGTCTTCATAATATAATTTTAATAGCTGTGTAACATTGCATCATAAGGGATGTAAAGCAGTTAATGTAATCATTTGCGTTATTTTCAGTTCTGACTGTTATAAATAGTGCTGAGATGAACCTTTCCAAACATTCTGACAAATGATTGTCAGTATCTCCGGTGATCTCTTTAAATAGATTCCTAGAAGTAGAATTATTTGGTAAAAGTAAATTGGAAAGAACCTTTCTAAGGCTAATGACAAAAATAGTCCCCAGAGTCATACACGTTTATACTCGTGCTAACAGGATGTATTCCTGGAGAGCACCCTTCTTACCATTCTCACCAGTGTTGGGATTATTGTTTTGCCTTGTTTTTAAGTCTTGAATTAGTAAGTGATAAATGGTTAACATATTCCTCTCAAAGGATTAGTCTCAAAAATATCTGAGTTCGTTATGAAGGTGGCTTAATCAACTCTCAGGCAATTCAGGCGAACTTGAAAGTGATCTTTTAGTTTCCCTGAAAGGAAGATTTTAAATTAATATTTGATATTTAGAAGAATAAAAGGCTGTATTAGAGTTAGCATTAAAATTGTATGGTGTGTAATTTTTCCATGTGATATAAAGTATCTTCTTTGTAGAGGGCTGCAGAGAATCATCACAGACTGGCTGTGGGCTGTGGGCAGTAGCTCTGCCTCCCCAGGCCTCAGGAAGACTCTCTTAACATATCCAGTACTATTTAGAATTTCAAGATCACTGCGTAGTCTATAAATTATTCAGTTTGTTGGGGGCTTCAGACTTTAAATTAAAAATGTCCTCCTTCCTGTAGACTTACTAATGGAACATATACAAGAAATTCGAAGTTTGAGAAAACGTTTAGAAGAATCTATTAAAACAAATGAGAAGCTACGGAGACAGCTGGAGCGACAAGGCTCTGAAATTGACCAAGGTAAGGTGGACCTTCCCAAAGGGCGGTGAGGGCTTCCTTTGTGGCGCATTTGCCTGGATAAGCGCGCTGTGTATTGGGAAGAGCTTTGGACTTGTGGCCAGAGAGATTTCAGTTCAAATCCTGACTTTGCTGTTTACTTCACCTTGCTGACTCTCAGTTACAGTAATTTATCTGTTAAATGAGGATAATAATTCCCATTTTATTCTGGTGGCGATGAGAATTAAGTGCGCTAACTTAAGCGGAGTGTCCCATAGTCCCTGGTGCAGAACAAGTACTTGATAAATGTTCGTTTCCCGGTCATTGGAGGAGTCTGCCAGCCTCTGGCATTGTGAATTGTGGTTGCCTCCTCATTTGACTCTAGAAGCTGAAGCAAAATAGAT